ACACTTAAAAAAAAGGTAAATGCTAAAATTCTTCCTCACAAACGATCCGAGTTGAGAGGCGAGGTCCGAAGTCGAAAGGCAAAGGGGCAGTCGAAAATCCAGAGTGACACAGGGTTTACAATCGCCAGGTAGAGCTCTCAGGGAGTAGACTCAATACCGAGCAGCAAGACGCGGGCTGGAGAGGCTCAAATACTGCAGCTGGCCGCACGGTAGGGCGTCGTGCTGAGTTAACACGTGTGGCGGCGCTTGTAATTATCGCCCCGCTGCTGGCACCGGTTTGCTCTCTTGGGGGCTGGTCTGGGCAGGCTGGCGGTCTTGACAACAGGTGCTCCAGTTAGAGTCGATAGTCCAGCTGGGTTTCTCCCACAAGGAGAGAGGGGTTTGTCACCTCATCTCCAGTACCCCCAAACCTCTACACTGTAACCCCAGTGACTCTGCCCCGTGTCCTGAATATGGAGCAATGGGACTACTGACATGACACACTGGGGTCCCCCAGGGGTGTGTGCTTAGTCCATTGCTCTACTCCCTCTACACCCACGACTGTAAGGCCAAACACAACACCAACTCCATCATCAAGTTTGCCGATGACACCACAGTTGTAGGTCTGATCACAGACAATGATGAGAGGGCCTACAGGGAGGAGGTCAGTCTCCTTACAACGTGGTGTGATGACAACAACCTCACCCTCAACGTCAGCAAAACCAAGTAGCTGATCGTTGATTTCAGGAACCTGCAAACCGGACATGCCCCTATCCACATCAACGGGACTGAAGTGGAAAGGGTCAGTAACTTTAAATTCCTTGGTGTCCATATCACGAGGACCTCACATGGTCTCTCAACACCACCTGTCTGATCAAGAAAGCGCAACAGCGCCTGTACTTCCTAAGATGGTTGAAGAAGGCTAAGATATGTCCCCAGATCCTCACTACCTTTTACAGATGCACTACAGAAAGCACACTGACAGGTTGCAGTACAGTGTGGTATGGCAACTGAGGTACCGCTGACCGCAGAGCCCTACAGCGGGTGGTGAAAACTGCCCAGTCCATCACTGGGGTTGCCCTGCCATCTATACAGGACATTGATGACAGACGGTGCTTGAGGAAAGCTCTGAGCATCATCAAAGACCCCACACACCCCAGCTACAGACTGACCCTCTGCCATCTGGAAAACGGTACCGGAGCATTCAGGCCCGGACTACCAGACTCAGAGACAGGTTTTACCCCCACACTATCAGCCTATTAAACTCCCAGCCTCTCTCACCTACGATCTGAACCTCACAGTGCCTTCTTTCTTACCAAAACTCAAACACACATTGAAATCTACCTCTACCTCACATGTTGTCATGGAAATATAACTATCAAGGAAGAGTTCTCACCTGAGTAAGGTCTGTAAGAAAACCGGCTCAGGGACGCCAAATATGTAATCATAGCCGTAGCAAAATTAAATGTAGTGGCTCTCTGAAGGCA